CTGGCACTGCCAGGGACCCTGGCCAGGAGGGTGGGTTACACCATGCAGAATCCAGCTTTCTCTTGAGTCTAACTCTCCCAGTTTCTTGGATTCACGACTGAGGAGCCAGAGGGGTTCCCTCTAAAAAATTTTTTAATCCACTGGTGGAATAAATTTTGTGGTGTGCACCGAGGCATGTGTGGATGTGCACCACCAGCACATTGGCACTGCCAGGGACCCTGGCCAGGAGGGTGGGTTACACCATGCAGAATCCAGCTTTCTCTTGAGTCTAACTCTCCCAGTTTCTTGGATTCACGACTGAGGAGCCAGAGGGGTTCCCTCTAAAAAATTTTTTAATCCACTGGTGGAATAAATTTTGTGGTGTGCACCGAGGCATGTGTGGATGTGCACCACCAGCACATACACAAGCTGTGGGCTCTCTGCTCCTCTCCTGGGTGGCCGCCTGAGCGCTCAGCTTACAGGGAACACTGGGCGCGGGACCGGCATGTCCGGCGCGCGTGCTCAGCACGGGTGTGGAGGCAGACTCCTGTGAGGGACAGGCAGACGCGAAGCGGCGTGAGGGCCGGATGCAGCCTGAGCCTGTAGCAGAGAGAGGAAGCCGGGCGAGAAAACGCCTGCGCAGACTAGCTCGCCCCGTTAGGTTTCAAGCCTTGGTGTGTGGAGCAGTCCCCTGGGCTCTGCAGTTGGGGGTCCTGGCCTGATGCGTCCAGCGCTGGGGGGAGCTGGGCCCACATCTCTGCAGGGAGGGCTGAGGAGCTGCTCCGTTACCGTGGCGCTGGAGGAGGCAAAGGGCCAGTTTCCATGTTTAACAAGCAGCCAAGGGCAGGAATGTGCTGACATGATTTCTCTCTCTGGCTCTCCGGATTAACCCTGGCTCTCCACAGCCAGTTCCCCCCTCCCCGCAGCTCCCCACCCGCCCTGCCCAGCCCCTAGCAGCCAGAGCCAGGCCTAGATCTGGGGCCCACAAGGCTTGGATGCTGCGTTAACCCTTCCTGTGCCTGGCTGGGGCAGGAGTTCACGGGTCTCCCCCCGCTTGGCTGGGACTGGGTTAATTCTTCGCCCTGGGGTGTCTCTGAGGAGTGCAGTAGGGCAGGGGAAAGGGTTTCCCCTCCCCCCCCCGCCGCCCTCCTGCCACTGAATCG